CCCCCCCCCCCCCCCCCCTCCCCCTTGCCCGGATGAATATGCCCCCGCTACTCAACCCCAAAATTGTTCATTTTACCATACGGAACAGGAATTGGTGGACCTACCCGTTCCTCCCATACGTAGACCTCTGGCTGGAAGCGTTCCATCGCCTAGACGGAAGGAAAGCGGGTTCGCCCCGCCTGGGCGCCGGCGGCGAAAAGGCGAACAAGGGCGCTGGTAGGACCGGGAGAAGCGGAGGGAGAAGGCCGAGATGGGACGGGGTGGTGGGCCAGGCCGTGCACGGACTTGCGCCCCTTATTGTGGTGGCCGTGCTTTGGAGGGTGAGTCTCGAGAGCCAGCCCTCTGTTTTTTTCACGTTCGCGTGTACCTGAGTGTTTCTTATGGCCTTTGAAGATGCGTCTCGTTTTTGAGACCTTTATAAGACGATGGTAGCCCGGCAAACTTGACGTTGCTCGTGTACCGGTGGTGTATTGGCACAACCCGGTGTTGAGATCGGTGAGATGATGATGACCCTCGTTCAAGTCTTGGTGTTATCCGTGTACCGGTCATGTATGGGTCCTTTTTAGCTTGCGCCCTCGTGTGGGTGCTCCTACTTCAAGAGTACCGGAAGGGAGCAAATGCACGTCTGGTTCCCTCAAGTGGAGCAGGGCTGGTGGCCTGGGATGGTCTGCGCCTTGATAAGTTGTTCTGTACTTTCGAAAACTTCTTTGCTACTGGCTGTTGCTGCCAGGCTGAGAGCCGCTTTCGTTCTTGCAATGACCATATCATAGAATGGAGGGATATAGGAATGCAGTCCATGTGGTTCTCCTTTGCGACAGCATTTTTGTCAACTTCGTTTGGGATCTTTCGACGACACTTGTGCGATGAAATTACACGGGCGAACGTGCAGGCGGCAAGGCATACCCCCTCCCCCTTCCCGAGTTGTAAAGTTTTGTATCTTGTTTTTATGCTGATGCTGCTACTGCTGTTGCTTCTTCTGTGTGCAATGGCTTCGTCCGTGTGTAATGGCTGTTTGTCCGGAGACTAGGCGGCTAGGCGGTGGACAGCCACGCGGAGGGCTCTACGCAACATATGCATCGCGCTCGCACGATATATGGTAAGTACCCAATCGAACGTATTCAGGCTCACGTCTCTCACCGCTCACACGTCATGCACGAAGTGATCTCGGTCCCGCGCAGCGTTCAGCAGTTGCGAATGTAGAGTCGTGAACAGCAATGAAGGATTCTTCAACCCAGTTGAACTTCTGGTGGGAGCCGCTCGAGTAATGTTATAGTATATTCTTCTTTGTGAACAAAGTACACTGCCATACGCAAGGCACGCTGGTATATATGCATGCCGCGCTTAAACTATGCATGTGTCAGTCCAAACCCATATATTCGCGCTGCAGCACCTCAGCTATTCGATTATGAAACAAACACAGGGTGTCTACATACCCCCGGTGTTGAAACTTTCTTTATTTTGCACCGCCGACTGCCCCCGACCAGATTCCCGTGAAAGCTCTTAATGCGAGGAGCCTTTCCGGAAGCGTCTTCAATCTCACAACGGGCCTAGTGGTGGCCCTCTCCGCTGCGGTGCTCGCGTTCAATGCCGTCCCCACCACGAGACTCGGCGCAGCGCGCCCCGAAGCAGCGTGGGCGTTTTTTTGGGGCCGGGCGACGGCCTTGGTGATCATTGCCGAAGGTGATTGTTCGTTTTCTGCACGTGCTCGTGAGGGGCATACTGTCATCCAACCACGTTACCGTACAACATTTTGTGCACTACAGTACCGTGTCTGAGGGACACGTTAACCTTGTCACGCTCGTCTTTACCTTTGATACTGTGGCAACCCGATGGTTGAAAGCGGCGCCTTATCTACCCCTTCGTTAAGAATGGAAAACAAGTGTGCGTACTGTTGATGACTCAGCAGAAACGGGGTTGCTCTGTGCTGCCTTGGTCCGGATGGCAGCCATAGGTATTTACGTCCGATGTTTAGGGTCCAAGTGACCACAAAAACCTTCTCCCTGCCCCCTTGCAAGTTTTCCGGATAGCATGTTCTCTCAGACGATGATCCGGTACATCTTTGCTTACGCATGTTTGGGTGTGTACTGGTATTACCCTACATGACACGGCCCGGCTCCTGCGGCATCAGAACGCACCTACCAAGCATCAGCTGACGTTTCCATCATTTTGGTAGACAAATCATCTAACCCCCCATCCCCTCTCGCGCTCCGCGTGTACACTCGCTCCTTGTCGACAAAGGCTGCTACCTCGTCCTCGTATCCCTCAAGGCGCATAAAGTCTTCTCAGCTTCGACCCCTCAGGACAACGTGCTCGTGCACGACGCCGCCAGCAACGGCGACGGCGGTTGCACGGCAACGCCAATAGTGGCGCCTCCGGCGGGGGCGTGCCCGGGGCGGCGGGCTGCCGGTACGGGGGCCGTGCCACAACCGCCGGGAGGGCAGGCAAGTGTTACGATGGCGGGGGGCGGGATCATCGTTGGCAGCGGTGTGGCGGAGGGGACGGGGAAGCAGGGGGGTGCGAGCGTGGGGGGTCCGTGCGGGCCGCGGCGGCTGGCGCTGACAGAGACGGTGGCGCACCTGGTGTTTCTCTCGGCGATGGCGGTGAGTCAGCCTTCTTGGGGCACGTGAACGTCTTCCTTTCGTCAACAAGAGCACAGCAGCAGGGCGGCCGGTTGGCCCTGTGTAAGGCTGGCGATATCTTTTGACACAGATGGGATATTCAAGTTGGCTCGTATTCTGCCTGAGAAGTGTGTCGGGTGCCCATTATGAAAGGCCAACCGAATCCCTTGGCCCTGTGTGGCCTTATGCAGCAACCACCACCCTATAACTGTGCTCTAGGTATGCCTTGTTCCACAGGCTCGTGTTCAGTTGCATCCCCGATCGCTCTCCCTCCGATGACCTAGGCGTCTTCAAGTCTAACTTGATCCCCCTTTTCCACACACCCGCCCTTGCCCCCTGCTCCCCAGACGTCCCTCGTGTCAGCCCCGCTATGGGTGGGCCTCAACGGGTTTCCGGCCAGCCGCGAGGTTGTCCCGGGGGTAGCTCGGCTGCTTGCCCTTCTGGTAGCGTTCACGTTTTCTGCCGTTCGTCTTCCGCCCCTTTGGGCCGCGCACGCGAGGTCATTCGACAGCAGCGGTAGAACAAGTACTAGCATCAAAGGTAGCAGTAGCGGGGGCAGCAGCTGCAGCGGTGGTGGAGGCGGCGTTAGGGCGGGTTGCGGTAGCTGGAAGCGCGGTCGGCGGATGTCGAGAAGCAACCGGCTTGAGATGGAGGCGGAAAGAGCCGCCCTGAACAACCTCTCGCCTTTGTCTGATCATCACACTGCGTAGAAGTTTTGGCTTGGGAGGGATTGTTCTGTCTGCGTAGAAGCCAAACACCATACTGATGATCCAGACAGAACATTTGGCTTGGGGGGGAGTAAGGGGCTGTTCTGACCTGTCTGGCTTTCGATTCGGCGGATAAAACCCGTTCTAGGTAGATGGTCCGATGCCCGCTGTCTCAGCGCTATACATACCAAACGTGCTAGACGTTGAAGTGGTAAAGGTTGCGAGTAACAGGCTCGTGGGAAGTCTGTGACCTCCCCTGGCTTCAGGCTGCTATTGGAATTGTATTTTGTGGAGTATTAGAGCGGCTGGATGCGTGTCCGTTATTGATAGATCTGCATGCCGGTAGGGTGTAGATATCTGAATCTAACATGCGTAAACCGAGCCCCAGCCCTGGCAGGCTCTCTAGCGCTAGGCGTTAGCTAGTCAGTCGGTCATGGTTCGGTTGTGATCGTGGTTTATGTATACTTGAGTTTGTTACTGTTTTCTGAAAGGTGTTAGATTGCGCGAGTGTTGGTTGTGTGCTGCCCTCATGTGCGTGAGTGGTTCTGTGCTTCTAGTGCTGTCACGTGCAAGAGTTTCATGGGTGTTGGTGTGCACGTTCGTTGGCTGGTGCTTACTGTAATACGGTGCTCGATCCATCCGCGACAGATGGAAGGCGGCCCTGGTATATGTGGTAGGTGCCGCGTCGCGTCGCCGCAGTGTTAGCCTGCCTTACTTTCTGTCCTGGGTCTGACTCGCTACCAGTGGTGGTACATGAGAAGTACGTGTGTCCGGCTCACCAATTTATGGGCGCTTGGATTTTGCCTATGTGGTTTTCTGGTGTCGACTCGGAGGAGATTTGATTCGAAGTACTCACCACGGTTAGTTGTTGCCAACCGTGTTGTGTTGGTGGCTTGCAGTAGGCTCAAGAGATGTTTGCAGACTTGAGCGTTTTGTACCACGGTTCCTTTCCCGCGCGTCACTGCTGTCCGTTGTGAGAATGTGGCGAAGACTGTTAAATCTATCTCATCTATCATGTGCAGTCTACTTGCTGGGTTGAGTTTTCGTTGCTGTCCCTAAACTATGGGAGCGACAATAACCGGCAGCGTGCTGCTTGCGTTCTCTCGCTGCAAGCCCCGAAGTAGTCGGTTTCTAGGGTAGGAGAAGAGGGGGCACGAAATCCGAAAGGAGCCTTCAATAAGAGTCGAGGTACATCTATTTCCACGTGCGTTAAGATGCACCAGCTGTTTGTGCATAAACTACAGGCAACATCGGTGGAAAAGGGGGCCAAAAGATGTCTTGCTCGCCGGCGAAGAAGAATGCCCCTATAAAAATGTTTTCGCTGCAGAGGACTCGATTTTTTGCATCACCTCTCCATAAGTGTGCGCTGAGGGGGGGTCAGGCAGAAAAAGTTGCACGCCCTATTTTAGGCCCCCCCCCCCGGTCGGTGTTTTGCCATCGGGGTTGGGTTTTCGTCGCTTGGCAACGACGTTGTAAAACAAGCCGCCCCCCCCGGTTCCCCCTCGCAATCTAGACTTCAGTGGGTTGGCGCTGTTGGCAAAGCGCTGTAAAACACGCCACCCCAAATATAGCCCCCATAGTATGCGCTACCAAAGACGCGTGACGCATGGATGCGTGGAGTGAGGATTGCTTACG